TTGAATGCCAGCCTTCTAGTTATCAGCCAAATGCCTTACCCACTATGGCACCAGAGCTCCTTAAAGAGTGAATAAGTATGGTGAAAGGATAGCACCCTGACACACTGCATTCTTGATTTTAAACCATACTGTATCCCCTTATTCTGTTTGAATAACTGCCTTTTGGTCTAGGTACAGGTTCCTCATGAGCATAAGTAAGTGTTCTGGAATCCCATTCACTGCAGTGTTATCCATAATTTGTTATGATTCATGCAGTCAAATGCCTGTGCATAGTCAGTAAAACACAGGTAAACTTCTTTCTGGTAACCTTTGCTTTCAGCCAAGATTCATCTGACATCAGCAGTGATAGCCCTCATTCCACATTCCCTTTTGTATCCGGCTTGAATTTCTGGCAATTCCTTGTTATGTACTGCTGCAACCATTTTTAAATTATTTTCAGCAAAATTTGACTTACATGTGATATTAATGATATTGTTCAATATTTTCCACATTCTCTTGCATCACCTTTCTCTGGAATGGGCACAGATATGGTCTCTTCCAGCCAGTTGTGCAGTTAGCTGTCTTCCATTTCTGGGTATAGACAAGTGAATACTTCCAGCATCATATTCACCTTTTGGTTAGCAGCCAAATACTTTAACCACTGTACCACCAGAGTTCCTTCTTCTTTTCTTTAGAAGTCTACATTCAGGGGATCAGCAGGGTCATGCTCTCATTGTTGCTCCATGGGAAGATCCTTCATCGTCTCTTCCAGTTTAGGTAGTTCCAGGTGTCTCTTGAGGTTGCTTGGCTTGTTGATACATCTGCATATGGCATCTTCACCCTCAGGAGGGATCAGGATCTACTGTATTCCCATATGATCTTGTTAACCTTTTTAACTGGTGACATCTTCAAAGAGTCTATTTCCAAACAAGGTCACATGCACAGGTACATGAGTTAAGACTTCAAACAGAAAAAAAAAAAAAAAAAACTTCAAGATAATCTTTTTAGGGGATGTAATTCAGTCCATTAATAACTTCATGCCAACATATTCAACAATTTATATGAAATTGAAAAATTCCTAGAAAGAGAGGGAGGTTCCTTAGGCCCGTAAAGGGCATCTATGAAAAACTTAAAACTAATATCATGTCTAATGGTGAAAGATTGAATGTTTCTGCCCTAAAACTTGAAACAAGGCAAGGATCTTTGCCCTTGCCACTTTTTTTTTTTTTTTAATGTTTTACTTCATTTTATTTTAAAAAACATTCAAACTGTTAAGGAACACAAAGAAAAAGTGGCAACAACTTCTGTTAGGTGTAAGAGACAGATGTGATTGATGGTCAGTAAGAGTTCAGGTTGTGAATTTCTTCTATATTCCAGGTTTTTAAAGAAAAATTCTACAGGCAGAGATGGCTTCACAGCACATAGTCTTCCAAAACCAATTTCTAATTGATTAAATGTCAAGAATTGAAGAAAAAACTCCTGGTTGCTTATAGAGCTAAAAGAATAATCATATTTCCCCACTATACCTGAATATTTTTCTTTGACAACATTATTAAATTTAGAATTCCAAAGGTGGAGTACCTTGGCCTGATTAAAAGTCATTTTTTTTTTTCCCATGTCTGCAGCTATTTCAGGCAACTGCTGGTGAGCTAGTTATTTCATTGTTTCAGCCAAAATGATTTAATATTATGGGGGCTGGGAGTTTTAAATTTATCTTAGTAGCTCAGTGGAGTGATTACTTTCAGTTCCTTGAAGAGGTACGCATTGACATTCTTGTTTCTAGAGGGAACTAGAAAAGACCACTTTTAGGAGGGTGATTTTGGGGGGTAGGGAGTGAAGAGGGACAGCCACTCTCTTTTGGAATTGTTGTTGGAACACCTCTGTTCTCAGTATAAGAGCTGTGGAAACAGCTCACCTGAATGCCCTCATGAAGCAGGCAGCTTTGCAGGTATTGATTGCATATGGTGGTGTAGTGCCTAAGGCATTTTGACTGCTTGAAGGTTGGTGGTTCAAACCCACAAGCCATTCTGTGGTAGGAAGACTGTACAATCTCTTTCTGTAAAGATTTTAGAGACCATCTAAAGATGATTCATTGAACACCAATGACCGAAAACCGGAAGAATGGTGGTATGACATCAGGAACATCATCCATGAATAAAGCAAGAGGTCACTAAAAAGACGAGAAAGGAAGAGAAGACCAAAATGGATGTCAGAAGAGACTCTGAAACTTACCCTTGAGTGGAGAGTAGCTAAAGCAAATGGAAGAAATGACAAGATAAGATAAAAGAGCTGAACAGAAGATTTCAAAGAGCAGCTCGACCAGACAAAGTCAATTATTATAATGAAATGTGCAAAGACCTGGAGTTAGAAAACCAAATGGGAAGAACACGCTTGGCATTTCTCAAGCTGAAAGAACTGAGGAAAAAATTCAAGCCTCGGGTTGCAATATTGAAAGATTCTGTGGGCAAAATGGGAGCTCTGGTAGCATAGTGCCTAAGGCACTTGACTGCTCACCAGAAGGCTGGCGGTTCAAACCCACCAGCCACTCCTCGGAAGG